GCAGGGGGCTGTGTGGGCCTCCCCTCAAGGCCTCCTCTCCTGCAGGGTGGAACGAGCTGCTGATCGCCTCCTTCTCCCACCGCTCGGTCTCCGTGCAGGACGGCATCCTGCTGGCCACAGGTCTCCATGTCCACCGGAGCAGCGCCCACAGTGCTGGTGTCGGCTCCATCTTTGACAGGTGTCTCCCTTCCCTGGATTCTGTGTGTTCGTTCACGTGTGCACACCCGCGTGCCCCGCATGCCTGGTGTTTCTGCGGGTAGTGCTGGGGTCTGGCGTAGAGGTGCCCGTGACTGTGTGGGGCCTTAAGCACCTGGACACGCAGCCCTGGGTGAGGGGCCTTGAGAGAGGTGGAGTCACGCAGAGTGGCGTGGCGCTGGGCCGGCGGATCCCCGCTGGGCTCGGGGGAGAGGTCGGGTCCCTGGCATCACTGGTTGGCGGGGTGGGAAGGCTGAGCGGCTCATCCTGGCAGCCGGGAGGGGAAAGGGCCCACGGCTGCCCACAGGAGGCCAGCGAGCCAGGCGGTTCTCTGGGAAGGCCTATGGCAAGAGCAGACCACCTCCGTCAGGCAGCGGCCCCTGACGGGGACTTGGTCCCTTAGAGGAGCTCAAGGAAAGCAGCCGCGTGAGAGTCCCTGTCAGTGCCAGAGCCCGGACCCGTCCCAGCCCCTCAGCAGCAGCCTGTGGGGTCCCTGTGCGTGCACCTGGGACGCCTCCAGGTCCCGCCCTTTCCCACATGTTCCCCAGGAAAGCCAGTGTCCCTGGGCTGCCGGGGCAGGCTCCCTGGGGGCTCTCATCCTTGGACGTGGCCTCCGCTGGCCTTGCTCTGCCCACTGCGCCTCTCACAGACCTGCCTGTCCCTGGCTCCGCACCCGTTGCGTGGCTCACGCGGCTCCTTGCTGAGCGTTGCTGGCCGTCTCTGAGCCCCTGAGAGTTGGCTGTGCCCCAGACCCACCTCTGTACCCCATCCCAGAGCACTGCCTGGAGAACGAGGTGGACCACCCCGGGGCCCGGCTTCCTGCTGCGGGGCCTGGGCCTGGCACTCACGGATTCCTCGCCACCTGCCCTTTTCTGTGCGCAGAGTTCTGACTGAGCTGGTTTCCAAGATGAAGGACATGCAGATGGACAAGTCGGAGCTGGGGTGCCTGCGAGCCATTGTGCTCTTCAACCCAGGTGACCGCGAGGAGCACGCTCTCCTGCAGGGCGGGCTCCGTGCCCAGTGGGTCCTGGTTCTGCAGCTCAGCTGAGCGAGAGCAGGCAGGGCCAGGAGTCCAGAGGGTGGGAGTGCTCTGTTGCTGGCCTCCCTGAGGTGGTGAGTGGCAGGAGCAGGCACGTCTGGGCGAGGACGAGGAAGGCAGTGGGGAAGTGGTGCAGGTGGTGCCATGCTGGGTGTATCTCCAGGTGGCACCCTGAGTCTGCAGATGGATGGGGTCTGGGACGCCAAGACAGGGGTCATATTACATAGCTCCGGGTCTTTGGTTCCCCCTGAACCTCTGGGAAAGGGAGTGCCCGTTTCCTGACTTGGGGAAACTCCAGGGAAGGCCACTCTGGTTCTGGGGGGAGGATCGGGGTTTTGTCTTTGAACGTTCGAAGGGGAGGTGGTAGTGGACCGCGAGGCACTACAGCGGGAAGCCAGGGCCTGGCATGAGGCTGAGAGTGCGGCGTCTGCTGGGGACAGGAAAGACGGCCGGCGGGTGGGGCCCAGCTGGCTGCTAGAGGAGCAGGAAGGGCGTCGGCAGTGGACGGACCCCAGGGTGCTGTGCGGGAGGCTCAGGGAGGGTGTCCAGGGAGGCAGGGAGCAGCTTCACCCGAGCTGCAGGCCACAGAGCGGTTCACGCAGCCACCTGCCATAGGATGTGTCCCCGGGGCAGGACATGGGCCAGTTTGGAGTGTGCCCATCTCACCACTGGCTCCAGGCTGGCCCGTAGGAGGCTCTCAACCTGTGTGTGAGTAGAATGGCCCAGAAAGGCAAGGCTGCCCTCCTGGAGTCAGTGGTGGACGCACTCGTGTTGACAGTAGGCACAAACGCACAGTGGGGACCTCAGTGCTGTGAGTTGGCTCCATGATGGAGCCTGTGGTGTCCCCTCCACCTAAGGGAGTGACCAGCGTGATGGGGACACCACTGTCTTTTGCAGATGCCAAAGGTCTGTCCAACCCCTCGGAGGTAGAGACCCTGCGGGAGAAGGTCTATGCCACCCTGGAGGCCTACACCAAGCAGAAGTATCCGGAACAGCCAGGCAGGTGAGGCGCTACACAGCCGTGCTGGCAGCCAGAGCTGGACCCTCTCCGGGCAGCGTGTGCCTCTGTGCAGAGCCAGGGCCCCTGTTGCCAGCATTGCTGAGTCTCCACACAGGCCCGAGCCTGGGCTCTGCGAGGCGGAGGGCCGTCTTCCTGCTGTCCATCCCCTGTCTGGTGCCCAGGCAGAGGTCCACAGAGCACAGTAGGCCTCCGCTGCAGCCCTACCCAGCTGTCTCAGTACCAGTGACCAGTCGCAGTCCAAAGATATTAAAGGGAACATTCCAGAGATAAGCAGCTTGTGAGTTTTAAACAGTCTTCATTGCACACGATGAGACAGTTGTGTTTCCTGTTGTTGGTGTTGACCTCTCGCGGCGCCTGATTTATAAATCAACTTTGGCAGAGGTGTCTGCATACACAGGGCTTGGTGGTGTCCTGTTTCAGGCAGGCATGGGGTCTTGGAAAGTAGCTGCTGCAGAGGGGGCTGCGGTACAGGCCTGGAAGGGCTGGGCCAGCCGGGGATGCCTGGGTCACTGTGGGAGGAGCGGTAGAGGCTCGGGAAGGTGAGTCCCCGGTGGCGGCGAGTCCCCGGTGGCGGCGAGCTGAGGTCTGATTTCAGCCTGCGCTGAGGTGACTGCATGGCTCTCAGGGCCTGCCCCCTTGGAAATCCCAGGCAGCAGCAAGCGAAGGCTTTGGGGTCAGGGGACATGGCCACTGGTCCCTGGGGTTCCTTCTGTGTGGCCCTGCTGAGCCACCTGGCTGTACAGCTATTCCTGAGTCATTAAAAGAAATGTCAGCGCCTTCCCAAGTACAGCAAACTCTGAAAGGAGAAAACGTCCTCCAGTCTCACAGAAAGCTGGAGCGACAGACCGGCTTCAAGACCGCCATCTCAGGGTGATTTCCACGCCCCCAGCCTCACCGTGGTTCTACTCCTTGGTGAAGTCTGACTTGGGTTTGGCTGGTTATCCTCAGTCCTCCCTCCGTGGGGGACAGTCGGCGGTCCTCACTCCTAGTTGGTCTGTGGGCGGTTCTCTTGCTGGCTGTCTCTCAGGGACCTGCTGTCTGTCCTGCGGCCACGTCCCATAGCCACCCTGGTTGGAGCCAGGTGATTGGAGGGAGGAGAGGTGGGGAGCAGTGCGGGGCTGTCTGGTGAGACGTGGGTTTGAGGAGTGCCCACCACACGCTTCCCTGGCTGGCGCTGTGCCTGGCCCTGCCAGCCACACAGGGGCCGGGGCTGCAGGGGGAGGAAGGAGAGACGGATTCCTGGGCCCGCTGGCTTCTCCCTCCCCCTGCAGCAGGAGACGGGGAGGAGGCCAGGGTGAGCCGCGGTGCCTGAGGCCTGCCCACTCTTCCCACCCTAAAGCGACACAGGGTGTTTCTGGGGCACAAGGTGTTCCTTTCCTACCTAGTCAGCTCTAGGTCCCACTTTAATCTTAAAAAAGACACCCAGTTCTTTTTTCCTAATTATAAAAGAGATATTTGCTTTGGTAGGAAAAAAGGAAATTTTAAAGCAGGTAATACAATTTGAGTGTAAATACGTTGGTACATTTTGTTCCAGTGTCCTTGTGAATTTGCATAGATACGTGTAAAAATACGTATTTGCAGATATGAGATTCTAGTTTGGCGTATTATTTTCTTCCTTCAGCAATTTTAGAAATTTTATCAGATTACTGAAAAGTATAAAATCATAATTTCCAATGGTTTTGGAATATTTTTCAATGTCGATGTATTTTTATGATTTTGTCATTGCCCCAGAGATGACATTGAGGTTGTTCCTATTGAATGCCACTTTTAGGACTTTGGAAGGTGACTCTTCCAGGAAGAGGCTGCCAGGGGCCTGGCTCCCTCTGCACCCTGGGGAGGGATGCCAGCTCTCAGCCTGGTGTGTCCCGGGGTCCTGGGTTTGTCCACCACAGCCTGGAAGAGGGCGCTCGCTCCGTCAAGGGTTCACCTGGGGGGTGCTGAGCAGGCACGTGGGGCTGTTGCTGGGCTCCAGCAGGCGGGAGGGAAAGTGCGCAGGAGGCCGGTGGGCTTGCTGGGACTGGTACCGGGGAATCTGGGGGTCAGCGGCAGAGTGTGCACTTTTCTCAGCGGTAGAGTGCTGCCACCATGTGGACACTGTGGGGAAGTGCACCACATGGGCTGGGTTCTTTGAGTGACAGATCGCAGAAGCCCAAACTCAGGAGGCACACAACTCACACAGGTTCTCTTGCGCACACCATGGGCACCTTTGCAGGCCGCAGCTTCCTCTTGCTGTAACATACAAGGGAAGAATCAGGGTCAGCCTGTGGCAGACAGCAGAGAGAACAGCTATGGCTGTCCCATACTGTCAGGCGTCGACATTTTGGAGTGGAAAGTCCACTTTCAGAGTTGATCTTCCAGTCTGACTTGCACATGACAGACAAGCCACTTCCCTGCTGGGCTCTGCCAGCTCTAGTGAGCTCAGAGATCAGCCTCTTCCTCCAACCACCGCTCAGCTACATGGTCCTTCTTTTTCTTTTTTAGAATTTTAGTTTTTAAAAGTATTTTTATAATAGACGGACACAGCACCTTTATTTTATTTTTGTGTGGTGCTGAGGATCCAACCCAGTGCCTCCCACATGCTAGGCAAGGGCTCTGCCCCTGAGCCCCAGCCCAGCCTGCAGGGTCCTTCTGTAGATGCCCTCTTGTGCTTTAGCATGGAAGCTTCTGAAGCTCTGCATTGACATCAGCATTCGCCTTAGGCTGGTTCAGTTAGAAAGATGGTGCCACTTTGCTCTCCCATATTGCTACCTGTTCTTAACATGTCACCTGACATGAGCACAGAAATGTGCACATTCTCAAGGAGCATTGATGTTCCAGTCTGAGACTTGATGAAATAATGCAACACCCTGGAAAGCTCCAACCCAAGTCCGAAATCTCTGAGTGAGGGCCACAGTGAAGAATGTGAGTTGGTCTTTGTGCTACCGATCGACAGTCGTGAGTAGAGCAACTGAATTCCTAGTGTCCGCGGTCACATCACAGGGAGTTTCACTGGCAGGAAGGGACTTTGAGAAGGGCAAAGGGCCACTCAGGCCTGAACAGATGCACAGACGTGACACACTGATCTGGCAAATGGCCTCAATCAAAGGACAGTGCGTGTGAGGGCGTGAAGCCAGGATGTGGTGTGTGGGTGGGCAAGCATGTGGGGGGTGTGTAGAGCACGGTGAACACACCCCCTGCATGTCCAAGCAGGAAGACTTGTGGGGAGGCACGTGTGCACGCCTGTGTGGTCTCTGCTTCCACTCTCCCCGACTCCCCAGCTTAAAGCTGGTCACAGAGATCAGGAACGACTGGGTGACAATTGACACTGACTGGGCACACCAAGGTCACACAGCCAGTGACTGCACATGACAGGCGCCCTCCCCGGGGAGAGCAGGGCTCTCTGGGCCCTTGCTCATCCTCTGGCCCAGAGCCTGAGGTGTGCCCGGCACACAGTGGGTGCCCGGCACACAGTGGGTCCGCATGCTCATCTGGCTGTGAACCTGGTGCTCCTGGCACCTCAGGCTCCAGCTCCTCCCTGCAGGGGCCCCGGGAGCTGGACAGGGGTGGCCGTGTGGCCCCCTCCACCATGTGGCCATGGCAATTCCTGCACATGTGCAGAATCGGAGACCCCAGGAGGCCCCTGGGTCCAGCCCTCTGCTGCTTTCTGAAGCTCCCTGGGGCGACAGGCTGCATCGCCCCCACGTTCCCTCCCAGACTTTCACTGCAGCCTGGCGAGAAGCCAGCAGCTGCCTCGCGGCCCCTCCTGGTCACCAGTGCCCTCCGGCTTCCCTGCAGGTTCGCAAAGCTGCTGCTGCGCCTGCCGGCACTGCGCTCCATTGGCTTGAAGTGCCTGGAGCACCTCTTCTTCTTCAAGCTCATCGGGGACACCCCCATCGACACCTTCCTCATGGAGATGCTGGAGACCCCGCTGCAGATCACCTGAGCTCCACAGCCGTGGCCCCCCAGGACCCCCGGCAGGTGTGTGGCGCCCGCCTGCGCTCTTCCCTCCCCCACCCCTCCCTGCCCCCCCAGATGATGCTCGTGATAAAGAGACCTTTCTCCGCGTGAGCCTTTGATAGATGGAGCTTTGTACAGATGCTCAGGTGACCCTTCTTTGCTGTCTACGGGGCTGGGTCTCCCTGGAAGGTCTTGGGAAGCTGACCAAGCCTCTGTACATAGGACTGGTTTAAATTATTTTTTCACTTGCCATGGAAAGCGAACAAAGAACCAAATAATAAATAAGATGTTGGCAAAGCTTGGCGCTTGTGTGTTATTGTGCAGGGGGCTTCTCCCCGGGGAGGGGCTGCGCTGCAGCTGAGGTCCCGGAGACAGTGCACCCCAGAGCCAGGTGCTGGGTCGCTGGGGGTCTGGGCAGGCGGCTCTGCGCCAGGTGGCCCTGGGGAGACAGGGCGGGGACCCTGCCTTCCCGAGTCAGCTGGGTTTCTCCCTCCTAAGATGGACGGGCAGAGGAAGCCTGCAGTGGGTTTACTGGACCCCCCAAACCTACAGCAGGAGGGACAGAGGGGCCCCCAGTGTTGCCAGTGTGCAACCTGAATGACTGGGTACGACAGGGCTGCTCCCCTCTCTGTACTGTGGACCTGACCCTGCACACAGTAGGCCCACTGCAGTGTGTGCCGTGGAACCTGGTTCCACACACTGAGAAGAGTTCCCTTGAGGGCGTGCGGACTGCAGGCGCCTCTTCCCCCATGGACAGCTCGCCCTCTGCGCCCCGCAGCTGACTCCACCAAACGCCGGCAGCCGTCAGGGATTGCTCAGCAAGTGCAGCCGCCTTGTGCCCGGGATCGCCGAGGGACCCCGGGCAGTGCCGAGGGATCCGCAGCCTTGGACCCGAAGCAGTGGGCAGAGAATCTGAACTCTGCTGACGGTCCCTTTTCGTGTTATCTGCATTTGCTGTGGACTCTAACGAACAGTTGGGCGGAGGCTGAATTTAGCTGTAGGCTGCTGACCTCCGCCCTCCACAAGGCAGTTCACAGACCCAGTCAGTGCCTCAGGAGAGTGGGGCCTCCACCACTGGGTGGAGTCCTGTCCCACGTCCATCTCTTCATCCCCAAACCCGAGCTCTGCCTGCAGCTGACCAGGGCCGGGCAGTGTGGGGGTCTGCACACCCATCAGCCACATCTCCCAGAAATGCTGGCCCCTTCACAGGCTGGGGCCACGACCTTCAGGGCCCCAAAGGTCCCCTCCTTCCCCCTGAGTGCCCTGTGGCCTGGGAAAAGCAGCGAGTGGTCCATCAGGTCTCCAGGCCTCCAGGGACCTTCCTCGTTCCGCACCTGGCACTGAGGAGTGGGTCGTCCTGGGGGGCACAGCTCCCGGCTGCCCAGCCCAGCCTGGCTCACACAAGTGACCCCGGGGGAGCCGGGGGAGGATCCCGCCTCCGAGCTCCTGGGCCCTGCAGCCTTGTCCCCAGCGTGGCGGAAGGCAGGCCCACGGCTCTGGGCTGAAGGTGAGGAGCTCTGGTCTGCTGCTGGGAGTCGGGCGACTGGGGAAGCTGCCCAACCTCACTGGCCTCTTCCCTCCCCTATTCGAAAAGTCGGGAGAATGATCCCACCTTATACAGGGAAAGGCCAGGAGCCACCTGGCCCAGCAGCAGAGCTCCTGCTTGGCACAGGGCCTGCTCAGGATTGGGGCCTGCGGTGTCCGCTCCTGACGGACTTGATCCGCCTGAGCCTCTGCAGCCCGTCTGTAGACCAGGGTTCTGTGAGGACGGTAGGAGCCGGGGACAGCGAAGCTCTCAGCGCAATCTCTGGCATAGAAGATGGCAAAAATATTAATTCATTTCCTGCCTAAGAGTGAGATTCTAGTTGGATGCGATCTTGGGTCTTTGAGATTACTGGAACATTCTATTCCCAGCCTGGCCTGGTTCATCCAAAGAGACTTGCGAGGAACCCAGAGGTTCTGGTTCTAGGCTGTGCCTTCACCAGTCCCTTTCCCGGTGGCCTCCGTCACAGGGGCTTGTTGGGAGAACCCAAGCCAAAGGCCCAGCTGCCTTTAGGGCAATGTCTGTCTTCCTGCTCTGAAGGCCAGCCCCTGGCCCCATGGACCCCTCCTTACCCCCGGTGCTTCTTCCCCTTCCTGGGGCCGCCTGAGGTGGCCGGCCCTCCTCAGAGCCCTGTGCTTCCTGAGGAGCCCTGGCTGGCCTGCCCCCTTCCTGTGGCTCAGGGAAGCTGACCAAGAGCTCTGGGCTGGAACTGTGGGGCGCTTCCTGCTCAGAACCCCCAGGGCCTTTCTTTTGTCTATTAAGCTGTCTCACCAGTGAGCAAGTGTCCCACTGCCTCGCCTTCCTGTGGCAGCGTCTTGAGACACTTGGACTGCGGGGGGTGTGTGTGTGTGCGCGTGTGTGTGCGTGTGTGTGTGTGTGGGTGTGCGCGTGTGGGTGTGTGTGTGTGTGCGTGTGTGGGTTTGTGTACGCGCACACTAAGCCTCCCTGCAGAGACCCTGGGGGACACACTGCCCAAAGGGGCTTTTCATCGCTTTGGAATTCTGACTAAAGCCCTAGGGTGGAGCCGGGAGATCCCCTCCTACTCTAGAGAGAAACTTCTAGATGACTCCATGCAGGACTTCTGAAGGCAGAGATGGTTCTGTGCCTGTTAAGTCTCCCTGAGCCCGAAAGCTCAGGGGAGCGTGCCCTAGGAGCGGGGCACTTGGGTGGAGAGCGGCGCTCACCCTCCTCTGCGGGGAGGCCTGCCCCAGCGGGGGGCACCCACCTCCACCAGGCAGGTGGATCTCTGTGAGCATGTGCCCACCGCCCAGGCTTGGCTTCCCAGGATGAGGCCTTTCCTTGGTCGGCTGCACACCTGGAAGAAGGCAGCTTAGAGTAGGCTGGGGGCCCTGACCCTAGGAAACGGTGCCTTAAGCAAGGGCACTGGGCCATCAGAGGGTGGACCAGAACGGGGATCATGAGGTCCTGCAGAGCAATGTTGCCCCCAGCTGGTCACCTGCTGTGCCAAGTTCCCCGGGGCTTCCCCAGCAACTTGCCGCTAGGAAGAGCCGTCTGTGTCCTCACCTCAAGGGCCCGATCCCTGCGGGAGGGATGAAGGAAGACCCGAAAGAGCAGTGGGGGAGGTGGGAGAGGAGGAAACAGCTGACCACAGCTGCAGCCTGTCCCACACGAGGCGGAAGCTTCTCCCTCGGCACTGGGTGGCGGGAGTACGGCAGTGGGGGCCTGAAGCCAGGCTGAGGGACACCCAGCCGGTCCTGTTTGCCTCTGCAGGACGCGCTCCGCCTGCCGGCGTGGTCCTCACTCCCCCAGTGAGCAGGACGGCCCAAGCCCTAGCCACGACTTGGCTTTGCCTCCAAGACCAGCGTCAGCTCTCCAGCGAGGTATCAGGGCCGGCCAGGGCCGGGGCCAGGGCCCAGTGGTCTGCTGTGCCTCTGCTCAGACCCTCCTTGGCCAGCATGGCTGTGCCGTGGCTCCTGCCCAGGCCCTGCTCACCCTTCAAGGCTGGCTCAGTTGCATGTCTCTGTGAGCACTGCGATCCCTCCCTCTCCGTGCGTTTGCAGCACAGTTGGCACCTGGTGTGGCATTAGTGACCAGTCTTATACACGCCATTGACTTTACAAGAGCAGAGATCAGACTGCCTTGGCCGGGTGGCCACAGGGGCTCTGAGCCGCGTGCCGGCCCAGGCTGGCTTCCGTCCAGGGGCAGCACACTCGGTGCTCTCAGCTTCCGTCCCAGTGGCTGGTGGGCCCCTCTAGGTCCAGCCCCAGCAAACCCCAGGCCACCCACTGCCACCGGGGGCCAGGCTTGGCAGGAGGGACAAGGTCTCTGTGATCTGCAGTTACTTTTCACAGGTGTGGCTGGAACTGACCAAAGGCTTTGAGGCAGGTTCTTGGCCTCGTGGAATTTAAAATGAGAAAAGCAGAAAGCAGAGGATGAGGGGATCTGGGAATCGATGGGTCTGTGTTGCCTAGTTTACAGAGCACACACCAGCCTGGGGCTATAACTGGCCTGGAGAGCTGAGGGGCCGTTGTCATCGTCATTGCCTCTCCTCTGTGTTGGTGCACACGGTGTTGTGCACATGGGTGAGGCACCCATCTTACAGATGAAGAGACTCAGCTCTAGAGAGTCTAGGACACAGCCTGTGGTCAGTTAGGAAGCTACCCTGTGGTCAATTACCCTCACTGCACGTTGTTGGCAAACATTTTAATGACTGTGATCAAAAGACCTGGGAAGAACCATGTTAGGGGTGGACATCTGTATCTGGAGCTCACTGTCTAGAGGTTCAGTCCGTAGATGGCCAACTTCATTGCTCTCGGCCTCAGGTGAGGCAGGATGTCATGGTGGAAGGGTGTGGCAGAGGACGGCAGCTCAGGACGTGGCCACCAGGAAGCAGAGAGAGTCCACTCACCAGGGACAACATACAAACCTCAAAGGCACAGCCCCAGTGACCCACCTCCTCCAGCCACCCCCCACCTGCCCACAGTTACCACCAGTTGATCCACATCAAGGCATCCATTCCCAGATCGGATCAGGCTTTCGTGACCCAATAAGTTCACCTCTAAAGCTTCCACTGTCTCTCACATGAGCCTTTGGGGACCTGTCTAAATCGTGACGCTACAGATGAGAACAGGTGCCGGGAAACCCCAAGGCCTCCGGTCTTCGACTGTGTTGGAGGAGGGTGCGCAGGCTGAGGAGCTGGTAGGCAAGGAGCAGTGCACAATGATAAGGAAGGTGTTTAAATAAACGTGGAATTTGGATGAACAGACCAGAGGTTTGCTGGCATTTTCTGAGTTTTACCACAAGGCATTTTTTTTTTGGATATTTTATTTTTTTAGTTGTCATTGGACACAATACCTTTATTTTATTTATTCTATCTTTATGTGGTGCTGAGGATCAAACCCAGGGCCTCGTACCACAGTCACAACCCCAGCCCGCAAGGCATTTTCTGTTTTTTTTTCTTTTTTGGTACTAAGGATTGAACT